CCGGCTGCCATGGGCAGGGACCCCTCCCCCAGCCCAGGCTGCTCACAGCCCCATCCAACCTGGCCTTGGGCACTGCCAGGGAGGGGGCACCCACAGCTTCTCTGGGCAACCTGGGCCAGGGCCTCACCACCCTCACAGTACAGAATTTCTTCCTAATACCCAGTCTAAATCTCCCCTCTTCTAGTTTAAAGAAAAAAATGAGGTGAACTTTCCATTTCCTATATAAATCTGTCCTTGGAATTTGTCTGTGTGCACACTTTTTTGAAGACATGGCTCAGTTAAGGGCCCCTGTACGGTTTAAATGCCATTATTTACTGATACCTCGAAAAATTAAGTGGACAGTATACAGGGAAAGTAAAGGCTGAAGTTAATCTATTTTTCACAGCCCGCAACGACAAAAAGGTGCCAAGTAAGTACTAAATATCACCCTAGTTATTTAAATTCAGTGAGGTTTTTTTTGCAAAAATCAGGTGTTTAACACTAGCTATTTAAAATGGAGCCCACGTTGACACTGGATCTGTATTTTAACTTCTTGCTCACTGTGCGCATCTCTATGAAGGAACTGCCCTTCCTGAAGCTGGTATTTACAGTGAGGATGGCGTCAAATGGGTATTATTCCTCTTCACTCTGTTTGATTTTCCTTACAAAATATGTTTGATGAGTGCAATGTAAGCGATTTGTTCTTCTATTATCCCTGACATACTTTTCCTACGCAAGAAGCTCTATAAAATCACACATCCTATGAACCAAGCACAGCTCTGCTTGTCAGCAAGCAAACAAAACGAAATAAGGAGCGCATCTCCTGACCTGTGGTGTCCATCCCCCCAGCACATAGAGCTTGTTCTTCACCGTCACCACCACGTGGCAGGCCAACGGGACCGGGAGAGGCGCCGAGCTCCTCCAGCTGCCTTGCTCCATGGAGTACCTCTCCACACCGTTTGTGACCTGGTACTGGTTTTTCACTTTCATTTGCCCTCCTATGACATAGAGATCGTTCTGGACAGTGCCCAGCGCATAGAGTTCACGGAGCTGAGTGCTGCACAGGCTTTGCCAAAACTGGTTTCCTC